ATTTTCTGACTTCTAGCCTATACAAAATAGACAGCTGTGTATGTATTGTCCACAGAAGTCCCTCCTGCTTTAGATTTTGACTTGTTCAGCCACTGTGCCATTTTGACCACATACATACATACACACTACATGCATACGAGTTTAACTTTTCTGGGCTTTGGTCTCCTTATTTCTAAACTGAAATAGAGAGCACTTTATCCATTACATTGCTGTATTGAAAGTGGATTCTGAGCTAAATCCCTATAAACTTTGCTCTTTCCTTTCCTGCACAATTTTAATCCAATGGCTTCCGAGTATTTTCTTCCTCCAGTGTTCTATGCTAGTTTAGAAGTTAGTTCAGCTTAGTCATTTACTATATAACTTTAAGAGAGTGACTTAGATTCTCTATAACCTGTCTCCTGAGGCGACAGCTGTCTGGACCCTGACAGAGGACCATGCACTAGTGATCAGGACAAGTTGTTTTCAGCCTGGTAACATAGGATCCTGCTACTTGCTTGGGGAGAAATGTTGATTACTCCAGGCGCTATATCCCTTTATGTATTTATCTCCAGAACAAACAAGTGCTGGCACGGAGGAAATGGTATAAGCAGTAGGAACAGCCACTGGCTGCCTTTCTACCGCAAATGCAAAAGTGTTCACAGGTCTAGGCACTTGGAAGTACGGGAGTCAGCCTGATTTACATATTGAGTTCTAGGCCAGCCATGGCTACATAGTAAGATCTCATTTCAAAAAATGTTTCCAAAAGAATTAAGCTTCCTATAGCTGCACAGACCCAAAATTCAGCCAGTATCATTCTTTCGAGGTCAAGATGAAATGAAATCCCATTTAGTTCTTTTGTGTTTTAACTTCATTGCAACAAAAATTTAAATTATCCTTACATATGGATATGTTGGCCATCCTCTAAGCTTTTTAAACCTCTTTCAAAATTAGAGGAATATAGAAAATGCAAAGACTACTACTACTACTACTACTATTAAGAAAGCATTCACATTTGATTACACTTGTTTCCAATATTTTATTGAAAATAGATGTTTCCATAATATAATATATATTCCATAATATAAAATATTTCCGTAATATATCCTGCTTATGGTTCACCCTCCTTTTATTCCTCCCAGTTCTTCCCTTAGGCTTCTAAGAGATGGTAATGAGATAGATATAATAAAATATAATGAGATAAAACAAAAGCTAACAAATCAGAATAGGCAAATCAAACACACAGCCATCTAGTTTGGCGCACACCATTTGTTGAAGAGTGTCTATTTTCCAGTGTGTATTTCTGCTGTCTTTACAAAAAGTGAGGTGTCTATAGGTATGTGGGTTTATGTCTGGGTTTTCAATTTTATTCCAATGGTCAACATGCCTGTTTTTGTGTCAATATCATGCTGTTTTCACTACTACAGCTCTGTAGTACAATGTGAAGTCAGGGATGCTGATGCCTATAGCAGTTCTTTTGTCATTCAGGATTTTTCTTTTCTTTCTTCTTTTTTTTTTTTTTTTTTTTTTTTTTTTCCCACCCTGAGTTTTTTTTTTTTTTCCATATGAAGTTGAAATGTGTCCTTTCAAGATCTGTGAAGAATTATGTTGAAGTTTTGATGGGGATTGCCCTGAGCCTGTAGATTGCTTTTGGTAGAATGGCCATTTTTTACTATATTAATCCTTCTGATCCATGAGCATGGGAGATCTTTCCATCTTCTGATCTCTTCTTCAATTTCTTTCTTCAATATCTTAAAGTTTGTATCGTTCAAGTCATTCACTTGCATGGTTAGAATTACACTAAGATGCTTTGTATTATTTGAGGTTGTGAAAGGTGTTTTCTCCTTGGTTTCTTTCTCAGCCAATTTGCCATTTATATATAGGAAGATTACTGGCTTTTGAGGTTTAATTTTGTATGCAGCTACTTTGCTGAAAGTGTTTATCAGGTTTAGGAGTTTCCCTGTGGAATTTTTAGGGTTGTCTATTCCGGGGAATTTTTAAGTTGGTATGGTATATCCTTACCATATCATCTGCAAATAAAGACACTTTTGACATCTTCTTTTCCAGTTTTACCCCCTTGATCTCCTTCAGTTGTCTTATTGATCTAGCAAAGATTTCAAGGACTACACTGAATAGGCATGGAGAGAGTGGTCAATCTTGTCTTGTTCCCAATTTTAGTTGAATTGCTTTGAGTTTCTCTCCATTTAAGTCAATGTTGGCTATGAGCTTGCTGTAAACTGCCTGCATTGTGTTGAGGTGTGTCCCTTGTATCCCTATTTTCTCCAGGAATTTTTAACATAAATTTCATCATAATTTTTAACATAAATGGATTTCATCAACAGCCTTTTCTGCATCTAATGAGATGATCATGTGGTTTTTGTTTTTCAGTCTGTTTATACGGTAGATTACATTTAGTGATTTACATATGAACCATCCCTGCATCTCTGAGAAGAATCCTACTTGGTCATGATAGATGATCTTTCTGATGTGTTCTTGGGTTTATATTGAAAATATTTTATTGAGAACTTTTGCAGTTATGTTCATAAGGAAAATTGGTCCATGATTTTCTCTGTTAGGTCTTTATGGTTTGGGTACCAGGGTAACTGTGGCCTCATTAAACAAAGTGGGAAATGTTCCTTTTGTTTCTATTTTGTGGAATAATTTGATGAGTATTGACATTAACTCTTCTTTGAAGGTCTGGTAGAATTCTGTGCTGAAACCATCTGGTTCTGGGCTTTTTTGATTGGGAGATGGTTTCCCTCCCATAATTTTCTAAGTTGATTCTTTGGGAATTTAACATCATGAACCTAAATTCCACTCATTTCCCAGTCCTTCCATGTCTGCCCTGCACCTTTGTAACCTCCATTTCCTAAAGGGGGAAAAAAACCAACAAAACAAAACAAAACAACAACAACAACAAAACATTTTGTTCCTCCATCTTTCCCGCCTCTCCGTCACATATTCATTTGTTGTAGTGGCATTGGGAGCTGCTATGTGTCATGCAGTATATCCTTTTGGTCAAACAGCTTTCCTTGCAAATGTCCATTGCAATGAGTTGTTGGTCAGGTTCAAGGCCTCTGGCTTCTGGCACACTATCAATACTCCTCTCAGAGATTCTGCAGTTTCCTCTAGTCATGGAGATTCTGTAGCTATGGTTCCACAGGACTGGTCCCTTACACACCCCGGTAGGTTATGGATGGGTTAGATGTTGGGGTAGACCAACTTAATGTCCTGATGTGGGCCTGGGTGGTAGCTGAGTTGGTCATTCTGGGCCTCCATTGGGACTGCCCCCTTCAGGAAAGAATCAGGGCTAGCTCTCCCTACAGCATGTGGATGGGGGAGGGCAGCCACTGCAGCCAGGGTCTGTGATAATGTCTGTGGCCTGTATCACCACTGAGGGCCATACAGATGCCCATGGTCTGGGCCACCACCTGAGGCCATGTTGATATCCGAGAACCAAGCTGTTGCCAGGCCATACTAATCTGGGTGGCCTGTGCTGATACCTGAGGCCACATTGGTTGGGAGACTTTTAATGACTGCTTCTATTTCTCTGTGTTACAGATCTGTTTAAATTGCTTATCTGATCTTGTTTTAACTTTGGTAGATGGTATGTATCAAGCTAATTACCTGCGTCTTTTAGATTTTCTAATTTTGTGGAGTATAGGTTTTTAAACTATGTATTTATGGTTCTTTGCATCTCCATGGTGTCTTGTTTTTAATGTCTCTCTTTTCACCTCTAATTTTGTTAATTTGGCTATTCTTTCTCTGCCTTTTAGTTACTTTGGATAAGGGTTTGTCAATCATATTGATTTTTCTCAAAGAATCAAATCTGTTTCTTTGATTTTTTGTATATTTTTAATTCTGTTTCTATTTTCTTGATTTCAGCCTCAAGTTTGATTATTTCCAGCCATCTTCTCTTTTTGGGTGTGATTTCTTCTCTTTGTTCTAGAGCTTTGAGGTGTGCTGTTAAGCTACTGGTATGAACTCCAGTTTTTTTTTGTTTTTTGTTTTTCCTTAATGTATGTACTTAGGGCCATGAACTTGTCTCTCAGAACTGCCTTCATTGTGTCCTGTAAGTTTGGGTGCACTGTGTATTCATTTTCATTCAATTCTAGGAAATCTTTTAGTTCTTTCTGAATTTCTGTCTGGACACATTGTTCATTCAGTAGTGAGCTGTTCAGTTTTCATGAATTTGTAAGCTTTTCTGTTGTTGTTTGTATCCAATTTTAATCCGTGGTGGTCAGCTAGGATCCAGGGATTTTTCAATTTTCTTGTACATGATGAGACTTGCTTTGTGTCCAAGTATGTGGTCAGTTTTGGAGAAAGTTCCATGAGGAGTCGTTTCCAATATTTTAAAGACAGCACAGAGGATTGAACCTAGTGGCTTCAGACATTCTAGTCAAGTGCAATAACACTTAGATACAACCCCAGCTCTCCAATATTTTTAAAAATAAATAAAACACTAAGTCTTGTTGACAATCAGATTTAATTGACCCTTTTAGAACATTTATGTTTTCATACACATATAAAATATTGATATAGGTTTGTACACATGCTTCTTGCCCATGTGTAGTAAGTGATATCACAGGGCACATACCAAGGCTTCAAAAAGCTTTTCATATATTACCCCTTGTTCATGTAAGAAAATTTTATGGGATCCCTGGCACACCAGTATGTGAAACAGGTGTGCAATCAAGCATTCACTACATATAAATCATAAGAAATTTATTTTAAAATTTATCTTTAAAAAATCCCCTGGGGAGTTGGAGAGACGGCTCAGAGGTTCAAAATGTCTGCTGCTATTTCAGAGGACCTAAGTTCAGTTCCACTTTGGGTGTCTCCCATCTGCCTGTACCTCTAGTTCAACAGGACCCAAGTTGCCCTTCTGACTTCTGCAGGCACCTGCATACATGTCCCCCACCAGACAAAAATAATAAAATTTTTGGAAAATAATGAAATAATAATTCTTTTGTATACATATGCTTGTACCATGTAGTAAAGATAAAAGCAAATTTGGACACTAATGAGATAGACATGCTTGTTTATTTTCACGTAAAGAATTAAATCTTGTCTGGATATCTGATACCACACATCAAAGAGCACTTGCAGTATTTTTCAGGGTAGAGCAATATTTTGATTTTTTTAACTGTCACTGTTGAGAGTGCTATTTTACATAAACATCCATCTCAAAATGGCAGAGCTCTGTCCAGTGGCACAGCAGAAGTGATTGGAGATTCCGGTCTAATCCAAACGCAAGTCCACCCAACAACTTTTAGTGAAACTCCAGTCAGCAGCTCAAATAGATTCTAAAAAAAAAATCAAACATTCTAACACACAATCCAAAAATTTATCACTTTGATACTTAGATGCTATTGTATGATGGTAGAAATATACTAAATTTCATCATCTTCCACCATTATGTTTCAATAAAGGTAGAAAACTTTGTACAGTATAAATGTTACAATTTATCATACACAGAAGCCTCAAGTCTGAGCTAAAGTGTTTCCAACAGTGTTGGCCGGTGTGTGGCAGGATGGTATTCACAATGCAAAGTGTGCACAGGACCTTGTGTTCGGAACCAAGGCTACAAAGAAGTCACATGATCCCAGATAAGTGAGCACTTCAGATTCATTACTTGTTTCATTTAAAATAAATTTTTGGCCATTTGACATTCAAAACCTTTTTACCATTATAATTTTTTCTAATACCTTCTCCCCACTTACTGACATGATGCCAATCTGGGGTTGTGATCCACTGTTTGAGAAGCTGAGTCTATCTATATACCTTTGTGTGTCATGCTCGCTCAACATGGTTTGGCTTTCTGAGATGGAGACCATGGTTTCTCATGGATCCCACTCACTTGAAGAACTGTGTTAGGAGCTAAATTATATCCCCTACCAAATTTGCATATTAAAGCCTTAACCCCGGTACAGTGGTTCTCAACCTTCCTAAAGCTGTGACCCCCTAATATAGTTCCTCATGTTGTGGTGACCCCCAACCATAAAATTATTTTCATTGCTACTTCATAGTTGTAATTTTGCTACTGTTATGAGTTATAAATATTTTTGGAGATAGAATTTGCCAAAGGGGTTGGGACCCACAGGTTGAGAACCCACTGCCCTAGTACCTCAGAATTCAGAGATTGTTTGTTTGTTTGTTTTTAAGAAAGGTGATTTGGTTTAAAGGTTACCAGGATAGACCCTAAGTTATCTGGTATATGTATAAGAGAATGAGAGATTTGAGCCAGGCAGTGGTGGCACACACCTTTAATCCCAGCACTTGGGAAGAGAGCCAGGTATATCTCTGTGAGTTCAAGGCCAGCCTGGTCTACAGAGAGAGTTCTAGGACATCCAGAGCTACACAGAGATACCCTGTCTCAAAAAACAAAAAAATAAAACAAACAAACAAAAAGAATGAGAGATTAGGACACAGTATGTGTAGAGAAAGACAGAGTGACAAACCACAGTGGCCTCAGAAGAAACAACCCTGTTAACCCGTGGCCTAGGATTCTAGAGTCCAGAACTGTGAGGAAATTGAATCCTGTTCTTAAAGCCACTTGGGTCATGGTAACTTGTTATAAAGTCCCAGAAAACTAGTATAGGCAGCTATTAATTCCACAGACAACAAATACCAAAGTATTAGTGGCATTTAGATAAGAACTAGGTACAAATATGTATCTGTGCAAATGGCTACTGTGCACACATATGAGACTATCCCTGGGGTAATACTCACACAAGAAATTGCTATGTCACTGGGATACACATTTTCAAATCTACAAGATGCTGCCAAATGCTCTCAAATGTGTCTATATCGAGTCCCATCCTTAAACTCAGGGAGTGAAGTAGCAGATCCCCCATTAACCTTGCCAACAGTTGATATTTTCAAACTTAAAAATTTCTGCCAGTATGATGGGGGGAACCTTATTGTTTTAACTGCACTTCCATAATTATGTATGAAGTCAAATATTTGAATATATTTATGTATTCATATTTGCTTTCTATAAATTTTTAGTTCACAGACTTTGCCTGTTTTTCCTTTGTTTTGAAGAGGTTTTTTTTTTTTTCTACCTGATCTGTAGGGATTCCATACTTGCTTGATAATAATCTTGCCTGCTAGATATTTGGTGAATACCTTTACCCAGGCTACAGCTTGTCTCTTAATTTTGTTCATTTAACAAAGGGTTTTAATTAGGTATAATCAGACACGGCTCTATTAATAGTTGGCTTTTTAAAATGCTGTCTTAAAGCAAATTTTTCTCTCCCAAAATTCATGAAGGTATTGCCTTATCTAATAATTTTGGATTTTTTTTTTCATTTAGATCTTCATTCCTATGATGGAAAAATGTAGGGATTTGTCTTTCTTTTCTTTTCTGTTTGAAGGTAAATTGGCCCCATATTTACTGAAATATCAAATACTCATTTAGGTCATTAAAAAAATCCAGTGCCCCCTCCCCCATCTAAGAGCATCTCATTTTAAGTAGTGTATTTTTTTTTTAGATGAATTCCTTCAATGTATTAGGAGAAAAATGTACTGCTAGGTAAGCAAGCAAGTTGACCTAAATGGATATTTGGAAAGGAGCCAAGCAAATGCTGGGAGTATCTGCCAAGACCTGGCTTTGATATGGGAAGAGCTGACCTTAAGACACTCCTCCTGACAGTCACTAGATAGCAGGGCCGGGTGTCTTCCAAGGTCACTGTACTGATAAACTGTAAGCAGAAGGGAATCTGCTTCCTGTCTTCCAGAGCAGTGGCCCCTGCAAGGAAATCTCTGGAATCACATGCTGAAGCCAGCCACAGAGTCATTCTCCTCTAGGTTTATGTGGTTGTATCTGTGTATCAAAATGATCCCTTTGGCCAACAGGACATGGTTGAGCCAGGAAGACTGCATGAGACCATGACAGCAATCATGGAGGAGATGACTAAGGGCATCTGAAAATAAGCTGTCAATGGAGAAGAAGTAGAGAGGCATGACTATGATAGAGTGGTTGTTGGGGTCAGGAGGAAAATGGAAGTGACAGATTCCTGACCTTTTAAATTGCGCGACTGAGTAGGGATCTGTGACTAGTGCCATTCATTAAAGCAAGGGAGATGGGATAAAGGGTTGCGGCAATAGAAGATTGGCCTCCATTTGGGGGAAGATTTGTTTGATGCACCTGTTAGGTAACAAGGTGGACCTGTGTAACGATAACTCTTCCCGCCAGCCGCCTGAGTTCCGCTGCCACATTAGGGCCCCAAATAACACTCAGAGTCTTATATTAGTTACAATGCTGCTGGCCAATGACTAGGATTTCTTATTTGCTAGCTCTGTCTTAAGTATCAACCATAACCATTAATCTATATATTTTATAAAGACTTATCAAGGATGCCAGCGGCATGTGTCCCCTCTTCCTGGGATCACATGGTGACTCTCCTTCTTTACTCTATTTCCCAGAATCCTCCTTGACTCCTAGCCCCACCTATCTTGCTTCCCTATTGGCCAGCAGTGCTTTATTTATCAACCAATGAGACAAACATATACACAGAAGGACTTCCCCCACCAGACCTGTCCAGTTAGCCACTGGATTTTTGGCTTTGGAGCTCAGAAGAGGGATGTGAGATGGAGGTGCAGGTGTGGAAGCCATCCTCAGTGAAGAGAGTGGGGGCCAAGAAGACCTCAGGAGAAGAACATGGAGAAGGCAGAAGAAGGGTCCCCAAGGCTGAGATGACTCAATAAACAGGAGGGAAGAGAGTCAGGGAAGGGTGTGAGTGTCACAGAAGCAAAGGAAGGGAGCTTGTGAAAAGGAGGGATTATCAACAGGAACACGTGCCGTGCAGACCACAAAAAGGCAATGCCTGGAAGATCCATGGGACATACACCTGGGGTTCACTGGGATGCATCATATGGATGTGAGCTGGGAGTACTACTTGTGATGTCCTGGCCACTCCCTAAGGCCTGTAACAATGTGAGAGGTGTGAGTACCTAGAGAAAAAACCTGCTTCTATGCTGTAAGGAATGACAGACACGGGACAGTAAGGCCAACAACTACCAATTCCAATGTACCATAAAACCATCTGGGGGATTTTTCTTCTAATATCAAAACCTGCACTACATATTCATCTGGCCCATGGTGGAACATGGGCAAGGATACATTTTAAAAACTCCACAAAAGAACATAATATATAGCCATGGTTCAGAGTGCATTATTCTCCTACCTTCCCATAAATGCGCTCAAACTACATCTGAATTTGATAAGCTTATCCATGTCCCACCAGGAAAAATATTCTCTTCCCTCCCCACAGGACTAATTGCCAAATACCAAATATTAGGTGCTATCTTTTCCTTGATTTGTTCAAAATGAAAACTTGAGTCCTATTTGAAAGTGTATTCCTTTCTAGAGTAGACCACTAGCTTTGAGAAGTGTAAGAGCCCCCGAGTCAGTGTGGACTCCAGGCTTAGCTCCCTTTTTTATGTGTTTAAGGTTGGGATGAAAAGTGTTCCCAGGAGGCTCCTGTGTTAAAGCCTTGGTTTGTGGCTGACAGTGCCCTTGAGAAGTGACTGGATCACAAGGATGCTGTTAAGTTCATCAGTGGGTTCACCAGTCATAGTTGAACCATCTTTTAGAAAGTATACTCCAGTCTGAGGGAGTCTACATCAGTCCATCTTTCTCTCCCTCCCTCCCAACCAGCATGGGGTGAGAAATTTAGCTCTTTCTCCCCACCATCTGCCTTACCACAGCCTGAAAGCACAGGAGCCTTCCTACCCAGGGGAGCCAAACAAGTCTTTGTTCCATTGCATCAATTTTCTTAGGTGTTTTGTCACAGCATCCAAGAGTGGACCAATACAGCATACATCTCACAACTCCTGATCCTGGGCTTCTACAGTATCTCCAAATACTGCCTACCTTTCAGAGTCTCTGAAGCATTAAGTCCTACAAAGCCCCCAGCACACTGACCAGTGCATGACAGGTCGGTGATACATACAAAAATGATTATTAATCATCAATATCATTATACAGGTAATTATGCATTGCATGCAGTTATATGTTAAATATAATTATATTATATTACATTTATTATTATTATTATTGTAAGTTGGCACAGGCTTTTTATTTGCTAGAATACTTTGTAGGTTTTTGTGTGAAGTTGTATGAAGATAATTTTCACCTTTTTGGCTTTGAAATTTTGTTGCTCCTTATTCCCTCTTTTCCTCTGTCAACTCCAGGTGTGTGGGTCCCAACAGACCTTACAATGTAGGCAGAAGGACTTGTTAAATGCAAAATGAATGAACAAAAGGGCCATGGATTTCAAAGAGAGCAATGAGGGGCATATGGCAGAGCTTAGGGGAGTAAAGGGGAGGAGGGAATGATGTAATTATGTTATAATCTCAAAAATAAAAGAAATATTTTGAAGACTCCTGTTTTTGATGAGCACCGACTGCACACCAGGCATGCACCTGCCTATTACAGAGTAGCAGATGTATGGCTCCAAACCCATTGACTCTGAGAGCAGTCAGCCACCCACCAACAGCATCTACTTTTGACATTCCATCTTGGAGTGTTGGGCTTCCAACAAGTATAGAACTTGTCCTTGGGGAGGGGAGCTACATTCCTCCCCAGCCTACCTTTCTGTTATTCATTTTATCTCTGTCCACTTGGCTTTTTTCTCCCTACATGTCTCTTTTCTTTTTTCTTTTCTTTTCTTTTCTTTTTGAGATACATGATTTTTTAAAAATATACTAATATGTAACATGCACTTAATCCAGAAAATGTAGAAAAATAAAGAAGTGGCAAAAAAAGTTTATCCTCAATCTTGGTGTTCCTCTTCCAGAACATCCGTCCCTCCTTTCTTCCCTTCCTCCCTCCCTCTGTTTTTTATGGAAGTAAAACAATCTAAGTTAAAAGCAGCAGTTATCAGTCAGAGCAATTTTGCTCCCAGGAGGACATTTAACAATGTCTGCAGATACTGTGGCTTACCAAAAGTAGTAAGCATCCTACTATGTGCAGGTTAGTTCCATCCCTACTCTGCAACCCTACCCCCGGCCCCTGTAACATATTTCATTTACCTACAGCCTGTGGTTGTCTTTGCCTTACAAAGCCATTGAGTAGTTGTCAGAGACATTATGTCGCCACAAAACCCAAAATAAATTTGTGCCATAGATGAAATTTTAATTATTCAATTATCCACGTTTTTTAAAAAGCATAGAGAAGCAGGGGACATTCATTTTAACATGTCTAAAGTATCATTTATACCTTGCAATCAGTGAAAATTATTAATGAGCTACTTCATATTCCTTTGTCTTTGCCATGTTAGGCTGTCATTTTGGCTCATCTCAATTTGGCTTAACCACATGTTGAGTTCTCCTGTGGCTAGTGGCTATAGTATGGAACAGAGAGAAATTATGTGCTCTCTCTCTCTCTCTCTCTCTCCATATATATATATATATATATATAT